CAGTGGGGCAGGGTGGGAGGCAGGAGCAGGGCAGTGGGACAGGGTGGGAGGCAGGAGCAGGGCAGTGGGACAGAGTGGGAGGCAGGAGCAGGGCAGTGGGGCAGGGGGCAGTGCCCGTCCCTGGGGGTCCCGGGGGTCCCCCCCACTCACAAGAGGCGCGGCACCTGCACGAGCCAGCGCACGTTGTTGGAGTGCACGCGGTGCTGCACCGCCCAGCGCGCCAGCTTGGCCCACTCGTCCCGCGAGCGGCCGTAGATGGAGAGGCGCAGCTCGGCGTTCTGGTACTTGCTCTCCTCCAGGTCTGCCATCACCTCCTGCGGGACACGGGCACCGTCACCTCCTGGCCACGGAGGGGACACTGGGGGACGTGGCCACCTTAACCCACGGCACGGCGGGGACGTGGGCACTGTCACCCCAGACATGGCAGGGACAAGGGCAACGTCACCCCCAGACATGGCGGGGACATGGGCAATGTCACCTCCAGACATGGCGGGGACATGGGCAATGTCACCTCCTGGCCATGGTGGGGACACTGGGGGACACGGGCACCATCACCCCTGTCCACAGGGGGACACTGGGGGACACGGGCACCATCACACCCGGTCACCAGGGAGGAGACACCGAGGGGACACGGGCACTGTCACCCCCTGGCCATGGGGGGGACATGTGGGGAACACCGAGGGGACACGGGGCACTGTGACCCCCGGCCATGGGGGGGACATTGGGGATACTGTCATCTCCCAGTGCCCCCAGTTGGGGGACATTGAGGGAGCACTGGGGGGACATGGGCACTGTCACTTCCTGCCATGGTGGGGACACAGGGCACTGTCACCTCCTGGCCACGGGGGGGACATGGCAGGGACATGGGCACTGTCACCCCTGAGCCACCAGGACAGGGACATGGGTGGTGTTGCCGGGGGGTAAATGTGTCCACTGTCACCCCTCAGCCACCAAGGAGGGGACATGGGGGGGCATGGGGGGGCATGGGGCCACCATCACCCCTTGGCCACTGGGACAGGGACACGTGGCATTGCTGGGGGGGACACGTGTCCACTGTCACCCCTCAGCCACCAAGGAGGGAACACGGGTGGCACTGCCGGGAGGGGAACATGTGGCCACTGTCACTGCCCGGCCACCAGGGAGGGGACATGGGTGGCACTGCCCGAGGGGAGACACAGCCACCATCACCCCTGGGCCACCAAGGAGGGGACATGGGTGGCACTGCTGGGGAGGACACGTGGCCACTGTCACCCTCGGCCCCAGGGGAAGGGACAGGTGGCATTGCTGCCAGGACAGGGGCAGGGGTGGCAGTGTCACCTTGATGATGTGGGCGAAGTACTTCCCGGCCACGCGGTTGTCGGTCTTGATGAAGATCTCGCGCAGGATGGACTCCCCGATCGGGTTGTACTTGGCGTTGAACTTGTCGAACCGGTGGAAGGTGTTGCGGTCCTGGGGGGGGGGGGGACACAGGGGACAGCTGAGACCACCCCCCATCCCCCCACCCACAGCTGAGACCACCCCCCATCCCCCCACAGCGGGGCTTCCCCAGAGCCCCCACAGCACCCCTGGAGATCCCCCTGGTCCTGGAAGGGGCACACGGGTGTGAGGTGAGACCTGAGACCACCCACCACTCCCCACCCAGAGCGGGGCTCCTCCAGAGTCCCCCCTCAGCACATCTCGAGATCCCCCTGGTCCTGGAAGGGGCACACGGGTGTGAGGTGGGAGCTGAGGCCACCCACCACTCCCCACCCAGAGCGGGGCTCCTCCAGAGTCCCCCCTCAGCACATCTCGAGATCCCCCTGGTCCTGGAAGGGGCACACAGGTGTAGGGTGGGATCTGAGACCACCCACCACTCCCCACCCAGAGTGGGGATCTCCCCCTCAGCACCCCTGGAGATCCCCCCCATCCTGGAAGGGGGACACGGGTGTGAGGTGGGAGCTGAGGCCACCCACCAACCCCCCACCCAGAGCCCCCCTGGCCAAGCCCCCTCCCCGCTCCCCCCCGGGTGGGTGCCCCCGTACCGCGTGCACGTCCAGGGTGTCCACGCTGAGGTCGTAGGCCGTGAGGTTCATGGTCTCGAAGACCTCCTTGAGCGTCTGCTCCTTGCCCTGCTCCACGTGCACGATCTCGTCCAGGTGCCTCTTCATGGCCCTCTTGATGAAGCGCAGGAGGTGCTTCTGGTTCATGCAGGACGAGGCGTGGATGTGGGTGTCCACCTGCGGGCGAGGCGTGGCCGTGGCTGGGGGTGTCCACCCCAGTGAGACCCCAAAGAGTTCACCGAGAGAGTCTGGGGTCTGCAGAGAGCCCCTCGACATCTACTGGGTTTGTGTTGCTGGAGATTGTTCTGTTCTGCTTGTTGGACCAAAACTTAGAAGAGTGTTAGAGGGGATTGTCAACAGGCCTGGGGGTGATAAATGAGGATACAGGAAGATAAGGTGGACATTGGAACAGGAGGAATAGGCCTGGAGCCAGGGCTTTCTCCAAGCTGGTTAAGAACAAAGGAGAGGTAAAAGGGTCACGGTGATGAAGAGGAGTGAGAGACCCCAGACCCGTGATGAAGGACAGGATGTACCCCCAGAACTGAGTGCCAAAGGGAAGCACCGCCCCAAGCTCCACCTACACTCCTCCTATTATTGATATGTAAAGATGTCTGTTGTAATCACATGAATATGTGATTGGATTAATTGGATTAATTGCTGGATTCCAAAAACTGGATATGAGAAAAATTGCTAAGTTTAAACAAAGCCTCGGGCTGACAGAGACTGGGGAAAAACCTCAATCCAAAGTCCAGACAAGGATCCACGGATGTCACGAGTTCAGAACGTCCTGCCCAAGCCTGGAGAAACCATGCCCTGACCTCATCAAACCTGTGCAGAAACCCCTTGGTGTTTTATCTCTCCCTCTGTGTTACCCATTCCCCCCATAAATCCCCCAAAGTAGGGTTTTTCCCACCAGGTGATTCCTAAGAACCCCAGATGTGTTAACCTGGGTTTTCCCCTCACCTCATCTCTGTGAAACCCCCCAATTTTAATACCATGACTATGCAAGCCCCCTGCTGAACATGTAAACCATGAACCCTTTATAGATGAAGTCGTGAATCCATGAACCATTCCAGTTCCTGCCTCCAAACCGGGCTCGTGGTAGTTATTGACCTCTGCATTTAATCACCTGTGAGGAGTGTATGAACCCCCTGAGTTTGTGGGAACCCTTTGAGCAGGTTCTCTGTGGTGTGACCCCGCCTGCTCCCGGTGCTGACAATGAACACCTTTGCTGCTCACAGACCCAAAAGTCTCTGAGCAGTCCTTTACACCGGATTTTTTGGAATCATCAGCCTGGAGCCCCCCCTGGACCCCCGGGACGAACCAGGACCCCCCCCTGCAGTGTGATACTTTCAGTCTAGGCCTTCCTGGAGACCAGCCTGTAACCAGGGAAGTGCCCTGTGTTCCCAGTATTCCATGCTGTTCTGTACATAAGCAGAGGTATAAACAAGAAGGAAAGAGAAGGCTCTGCCTCCTTCTCTTCCGGTGAATCTGAAAACACAAGTTCTCCACTGCCAACCCTGCTCATGTGAAGAAGTGAGGCCTCGAAAACCTTAAAAAGCAAAAAGTACTGACGGTACTTAACACAACTCTACTATCTCAAGGAGAATAATAAGATTTTCTTTTGCTAATTCTTTATTGATTATACATACCTACTTCGAATTTCTTTTGCGTTTTTGTCCCTTTTCCCTTTCCCTTCCCCTTTGGGAGGGGTTATTTAAGATTTTCCTCTCTATATACACAATATTATAACCGTATATAACTGCGATATATGTAAATATATATATTTCGTTATAACTCAGTTGATTTCAAGTCTTTCAATTTCTATAATTTTTTTTTCCTTTGCCCAAAGGGGGAGGAGAAGTTTTTGCTGTAATCTAAGGAAACTTGACAAGAAACCAACTCCAAACAACTCCACACACAGGGGTACCTTGCGGATGTTGTAGAAGTCCCGGTGGGGAACCTTCTTCTGGGCCGCCAGCTCCTTCATCTCGTTGAGCAGCACGTGCATCTGGAACTTGCTGCTCAGGTACTGCAGCCGCCGGTAGCAGAAGGATTTGCTGCCCGGATTTAATTTGGGGAGGGAAGGGAGGGTCAGTTTGGGGCTGGGGAGGGAGAAAGGCCGGTGCCCACCGGGGTGAGGGGACATGGTGCCCACAGGCAGGGTGGGTGTGGGGGATGGAGCAGCCACCCCCTGTCCTCGGGGCTGTTCCTGAGGTTCTGTCCCCACTCAAGGTTCTGTCCCTCTCTCTGTCCCCATCCCCAACACCCTGGTGTCCCCATCCCCAAAGCCCTGCTGTCCCTGTCCCCAGCCCACACCTCCTGATGTTCCCATTTATGCCTCCCCAATGTTCCCATTTATGCCTCTCTGGTGACCCCCTTGTGTCCCCATTTACCCCCCCCTTGTGTCCCCATTTATGCTCCCCCGGTGTCCCCATTTATGCCCCCCTGGTGTCCCGGTGCCCCCCTTTGCCCCCCGTGCCCCTTTGCCCTCACATGGGCCCGTTGATGATGAGGGCCATGAGGAAGTTCATGTCAGCGATGAACTCCTGCAGGTCGGGGTAGGGCAGGTCCAGCTCGGTGCTCCTGGGGGGGGACACACACACAGCTGGGGGTCCCACAGCCCTGACCCCCCCAGGGCCGAGCGGGACCCCCAAACGCCCCCGGCCTCACTTGTCCGTGGGGTCCTGGCTGGTGTAGACGTGCACGACCCCGTCCACCATGCGCAGCCCGTAGCCCAGGTCCTCGGGCATCTCCCGGGGGTCCCACGTCTCGTAGGGGTGTCGCTCAGCAAAGGGGGGGTGCACGGGGGCATCTGCGGCCACAGACCCCCCCTGTCACCCCACAGCTTCCCCACAGCACCTCAAAACATGGGAGCACCCTACAGTCTCCCCCGTCACCCCACAGCTCTCCCACAGCACCCCAAAACACGGGGGCACCCCACGGACCCCCCTATCATCCCACAGCACCCTAAAACATGGGGGTACCCCACAGACCCCCCTGTCATCCCATAGTACCCCAAAGCACGGGGGCACCCCACAGCTCCCCCACAGAGAGCAGGGGGATCCCCCCAGCACCCCAAAAAGGCCAAGGGGATCCTCAGAGCCCCCCTAAAAGAGCAGGAGGAGCCCCAAAGACCCCCCACAACCCCCCCGCATGACCAGGTGGACCCCCAATGCACAGAGGCATCTGCACCCAGAGACCCCCTCAACATCCCCCAAAAAGATCAAGGGGACCCTCCCAGCCCCCTCAAAAGTGCAGAGGGACCCCCATGGCCCCCCAAAAGAGCAGGAGGACCCCCAAAGCCCCCCCTATGAGAGCGAAGGGACCCTCACAGCACCCCCCCAAGAACAGGTGGACCCACAAAACCAGGGGGTACCTACAGGCAAAGCCAGGAGCCACCCAACATCCCCCCAGGGCACCCCAAAACCTCCACCAAAACCCCAAAACCTCCTCCAAACACTCCCAAAACTCCTCCAGAAACTCCCAAACCCCACAAACTCCTCTAGCCCCCCCTCCCAGCACCAAGACCCCCTCCCTGCAGCCACGGGGGTGTTGAGGGGCTTCTCAGGGAGCTCCACATCACCCCAGAGCACCCCAAAACCTCCTCCAAACCCCAAAACCCCAAAAACTCCTCCAAAACTCCCAAAACTCCTCCAAACCTCTCAAAAACTCCTCCAAAACCCCCAAACCTCCTCCAAACCCCCAAAACCTCTTCAAAACCCCCAAAACTCCTCCAAAACCCCCAAAACTCCTCCAAACCCCCAAAACTCCTCCAAACCCCCAAAACCACTTCAAAACCCCCAAAACTCCTCCAAACCCCCCCAAACTCGTCCAGCCCCCCACGCCAGCCCCAAGACCCCCTCCCTGCCCTCAGCAGCAGCCATGGGGGTCTCAGGCACCTCCTCACAGCCGCGGGTCTTGGAGAGCTCCACATCACCCCAGAGCACCCCAAAACCTCCTCCAAAACCCCAAAACCCCAAAATTCCTCCAAAACCCCAAAACCCCCAAATTCCTCCAAAACCCTCAAAAACTCCTCCAAACCCCCCCAAACTCCTCCAGCCCCCCTCGCCAGCCCCAAGCCCCCCTCCCTGCCCTCACCAGCAGCCACGGGGGTGTCAGGGGGGTCGTCGTGGGCGCGGCTGTCGGGGTTTTTCCCGGAGAATTCCCGCAGGAACCGGGCCGTGGTGCGGCAGAAGCTCTGCAGCGACAGCCCCATGTACTTCTGGCGCAGCAGCAGCGCCTTCACCACGCTCTTGGCCGCGTCCAGCAGGTCCGTGAAGGGCACCTGGGAGGGGACAGCGAGGGGGAACACCCCGGGCTGGGTTGGTGGCCCCACAGACCTCCCCAGGTGGGTTTGGGGTCACAGGGAGGGGCTCACCCCACAGACCCTCACGGGTGGGTTTGGGGTCACG